ATTAGGACAATGCGAGCAACAGGTTTTTCCTTAATATGTGCCATTAAGGCGCTCAGACAAATTAACTAACAGACAATCCGATGTCTGTCAGTCTGTACCCGACTAGGAAAGAAGGATAGAATACTCGACCGGTGCCGCACAATTTCTGCTTTTGCTTGATTGCTGTTAACAGACTTAGTGGGAACGCTAGTAGAACAAGAAGATCCGATCAGTTATCTGTCTCGACGTTAGCTTTTTATTAGATTAGCTGAACAAACAAGCTGACGTTCCCATGGGCGATTCATCAGTAACAGTCAACTGTTCCTGTGATTACTAGGTTAGCTTAACGTCGTTTATAAAAATCAATTTCGAGGAATTTTTGTCATTCTCTCAATTTTTGCTATTGCGCTCCACTAGAATTATCCACCGTTGCCGGCCCTGACCATAAGTCCGGATGAGAAAGGAGGAGTGTTGGTGCGGAGGGCTAGCAACCCTTCCACCGTAAAAGGGAATAATTGCTTCAGAAAGGACGAGTAAGTGTAATGTTAATTGTTGAATCGATGAAATCGGATCCAGCTGTGTGACGGATGCTCTGATACTATTTCGGATTTCTCAATAGTAAGCAAAACATTTATTGGCACCTGGAGTGCGCGCACATTATATAAGACTAGGGAACTTTGCACAACATCTTCGAGTGTTTGACAGGCAACGACTAGTATACTAGGAACAAACGAAGTGCGCTGGTTAAACAGCGGCCGCATGAGTGAACAGTACTATTCTCTGATCACGAAGAAATGCATGAAAAATGAGTTGGAATAGTTTTTGAGCAGAAGAGCAACCAACGCACTTGTCGGGGAAAACTGTCAGTGAGGGAATAATCACGGAGCGTTCTGTGAGCAGGCGTACTCGTATAACTGTCATCCAATAGAAAACAACTGTAATGTTTATAAAATGAGAGACAATGGTCCGTTTCGCCTCTTCCTCAGACGAACCACGGTGATGACGCCAGCCCCTGAGGCACTTCAGTGAGTTGGGGCTGACGATAAAGGAGTATGTGAGTGGAAATCAAAAAGTGCACAAAAGATGTAGATAAGACAAATAAGAATGTCAAAAGGAGAGCAATCCTAAAATATGTCGAGATACGTCGAGATAGATAGGAAAAGATGAGGTAATAGAAGTAGGGAGGGAGGAAATCCTTATGAAAAAACTATGTACTAAGTTGCAAAATACTACGAACTAGTTGGGTAATACGTTTAAGGTTATCTGTAAAAGCGTACTTGTAACTAATGAACTTATTTTTATACAAACATTTAACTATATAAGAGATAACGAAATCTTTATTGTAACCATTATTCATTAATACTTTGATCATGTCACTTATTTTTTTTGGTGAAGGAGCAAAAAGTAGTGCATGTATAAGCAATTCCTTAAGGTCTCAGTATAAATAACTGCGCCCTTATTTTTAATTTCAATATTGGTCTCACTGTGAAACAGAAGTCATCAGTTTTATTATAAAGTTCGGTGTAATTTCTGTCGTTGATAATCCTAATATTCAAGTCTAGATAGTTACTACATTTTCCGTAGTGTGTGTTTTTTCAACTCAAGTGTATTTTTTATACACCTCTCTGAGTTGTCTATCAATGTCCTCTTCACAGTGATTATGGATGATCAGTAAGTCATCCATATATCTATAGGGTATGAAACACTCTCCGTTGTGGTACTTTTTGGAGTAATTGTATTCCATGATGGAAAGTGTAAGGTCTGCCAGTAACGGGCTAAAATTCCCTCCCTGTGGTACACCCTTTTTCTGCTTAAAATATTATTTGCAAAGATGCAGAAGCTGTTAGTTAGTAGATATTCTGTCAAATATAGAAGGTCTTCCTTTTTATAAAACCTATACTGACAGAGATCTTTGCACTCATTAGAATAAAAGACTCGGTATCCGTTGGTAGCTAGCCCATTTTTATCTGCGTTCTTAAAACAGATATTCAATAATTCACTAATATTTTTCATAATAAGATTGTGTTCCAAGTTAGTGAACATGTCCGTAAAGTCAGCTGTGTAAAGTTTAATGTTATCATACCGTAGGTTATTGAATTCATGACTAATATTTATATTATTTATGGACCAGTAGTTCTTAATGGTTCTATTACGTTCTAACGTCACTTTTGCATAATTCTTAAAATGATTTTTAACGTGCGTGAAAAGGATGTGTAATTCCTTAGCTATTGTTTTGAGACTGCTATTATAAGCACCTGTAATAAATCTGAACCTAATAGGTTGTTTATGTAATTTTGGTAAAGCATATATAATAGGTAAATCTGCATGATCTTCAAAACTAATACTTGTTATTAGTGCATAATTGCTTGTGCTTATTGATAAGAAGTTTCGGCACTATTGAAGTATTCCTACCAGAATGTCGTATTCAGCATTTTCATATTCATATTAGCAGATTTTCATCGACTTTGGTGAAAAAAGTGGTGGGCGCCAAATTGGCGCATAATGGCGCCAAATGACGCCAGCGCTTAAAATGTGATATTCGTGATCAGCGCATCGAATTACATCTATAGGCAACGTTTCAGCGAAAATTTTTTTTGAGTTTTTGGGGTAGGAATAGTTCAATAGTGCCGAAAATAGTTCTAATCGGTTTAAATTCCTTTTTATCAGTGTGATTTTCGATGAGGATTCTTTTAAGAGCTCCAGAACTGAAGATTCTGGTAATGGTATCTTATTGAATACGCTACTCCGAAATTGTATTACTACATTGTGGTAGTTTATCTTTTCTCTTTTAGTTTCTTTTATGTTATAATGAAAATGAGATAACAGGCAAAATATCAGGAAACCTAGTTTTTCCTTTGACATTAACCAAGAAATCACTATTTAATCATTTCTCTCATATCAGTCTTTCTCATACTCTTGAGTAGTCTATAGTAATGTATTGGCTCCAGTGTGTCTTCTTCATTAACTATTTTGTTCAACACAGCCCTGCACTGTGTTTCTTTTTTCTTATTCTTTTTCTTAGCACCTCTATTGTTTCTAGATTTTTGTTATCTTTAGGGAGAAGAATAGAGGACTACTTTTCAGCATGAAGGGAGTGCTGAGACTAGAAATGTTACCATAACCTTGATATTGTCATTCAGTCTGAAAGGATAAGCAGTCATCAGCAGTTTGATCCAAAACAATTCCTTCTCTAGTGAAGTATTTTTATCATTGCTTGCTAAAGAATCGAGTACTGTTACATATATTCCTTCATCACATTTTAAGAAGTGATCGTAGAGCATTGTGTGCTTCCTATAGGTGGAATGTTGGTGAGATGTTCCCCAATTCTTTCTTTTAACCTTCTTATCGTCATACCTACATATTGAATTCCACATTTTTTACATGTTATACAATATATAACGTTTGTTGTATTACAATCCGTATCTGCTTTGTATAAGTTTTAACTTGTAGTTTTGTTACATGTGATATTACATAACTTTCCGTATTAGTAATACTACAAATCGGCAATTTCTTGCACACCTTTTTCCTATGTTGTTATTGCCGAAATTGTCCAACACGTATTGATTAGCCTCTCCTCTTACCTTATTAAAACTGGTTTTTGTGTAGTAATCAGTTTTATTTTTTGACCTATTAATCTAAGCATATGGGCGGTCCTGCCCATATGCAGAGAGGGATCTCCCTTTCGGGTTCGGCAGGACTGCTGCCAGGGGTTGGCACTCCCTGCTTTGTTCCCTAAGGGAACGACTAGCGCTGGAGGCGTCAAAAATTGATCCCTCTTGCCATTTTTGACTTGTATAACCCCATCAGCGCTAGTCCCTATTTTTATTAAGAGGTATGGCCCTCTTTTCTTGTATGTAAAGTAATATATGAGGCGTCCAGATCTGAAGAGAAAAAAGGTAAAAGTGATAACGAGAAAAGAAAGAAAGGAAAAAAGGATGGGAAATGAAAAGTATAAGAAAGGAAAAGAAAAAGGAAAAAAGGGAAAGAAGAAGAGGCCAACCAATAGCGGGACCTGATTGTGAACCTAATTGGAAAAGAGGAAGTTGTTTATCAGGTACTTTTTACCTTTCTTGGGGTGGAGTATCGCATCCTGTGAGAACTAGCTATATTATGAGGTTGTGAGCAAAGAATCAATCATGACGACACATTAAATCCTTGTCAGCTATTGAAAGTGATTGCTTATAATATTTTGAACCAAACGATTGGGTATAAGCAGAGTATCGGCATAGGGTTAGGGATTCTGTCCCGTATGTCTACTATTAGTAGAATTAGTAGTTGAAATAAAGTGTTTAGTCTTATTATGGAAGTTCAAAAACGATTTTTGACTGGACCTATTATCTTATCCTCATAAATGTTATATTATCCACGTATGGTTCAAGAACTCTTAAGTATTGTTTGTGGTTATAACCCTTATGTCCGTGCCATATTCAATTTGCCCATTTCTTGTGTACCTGCGCAATCAATATACTACAACAAAATAACGCAGCCATAGTGAGAAGGTGTTACACCGTCCATTATCTTAAGTTTTTCATTTTTTTTCTACTATTCTGTGAGCGTCTATCCAGGGGGCCTTGTTGTTTTTCTTTCTGCAGTACCCTTTTGTGCTTGTTCCAATGAGATAAGTTCACATTCTTTTAACAATCTTTTCAGGCTGAGATGAAATCTAGTTTCTGGGAGTATTTCATTGAAAACGGTAGGAAAAATCTTCTGCAGTATAACCGAAAGCAGGGTACTACGGCTAAAGTATTCAGATGTCACACCATAGAAGTCAATGACCTTGAAAGTCTTAGGTAACTCATGCATACGAATATTAGATAGAAGTTAAGGACTGGAATGATTTTGGGTTGCTAACCATAGAGACTCATAGTCCATGATTCCTCACGGGACCTTCCTATGATTCATAACATCTGCCCAAAATCCTAAGTAATAAAGGGGAGCATGTATAATGGAATGATAGATGTAATTTTAGTCTCTATCTTAGAAAGAAAATACGCCACTATTGTATAGATCATAGTTTGACAATGCCCGAAATTATGGTGAAGAACGGATTCATTTTTATAAAGAATATCTCTACTCATGAACTAAAGGTAGTAGCTACAATGTGAAGAAACTTGCACATAATGTAATCAAAAACTATGGAAAACAATATTCTAATTCAGAAATTCAAATCCACCGACCTGGCTATCAAACTGGGATGGTCCTACATAGGCTGGCATGGGACACCCATAAAGAACATGCTAACAACTAATGAGCTGAGAAATTTTGAGGTAAATAGTAAGTACTATAGGTTGCATACCTATCAACAAAATAATGACTTGAACTTTAAGGTTAACCAGGATGTCTACGGCTCATTAAGACTGGAGGAATTTATCGGTTGTGAGAAATCCGTTGAACTGAATGAGGAGGTGAGAAGTAAGGACGGTGCTTGAATGAACCTAATAGTAATACATTATAGGATCAATTCATGGAAGAAAACGTGCAGCTGAACGAGCTGACTTGTCCACAATAAAATTGCCAAGGCTATGTAAAGAAAATGAACCTTCAGTGACAGAATGAGGAAAAATTAGTCGTGCGAGCTAGTGAATTGTCAAGTGGAAAACTCTGATCCGTTGTTTTGTTTACGTGTTTCTAATAAAAGTGTTAGCAGGATACGAGAAAAACCACAAGTACGAAGTCACGAAATCATACCAATAGGACAAGAAATGAGTAAGAAATGAGTATTTATAAAGAAGTGTGATCTGAAGAAATGGTATAAGAAGAGAGGACGTCACCGACGTCTCGGTGGACCACCGGTCCAAAAAAGAGGGGTCACCACCGGTGACAAAGAGGCACTTCGCCTCAAAGAAACATGTTACCCAAACAACGGAGCGGGTTGTTCACTAGTTACGGGTTTCCCTCGACAACTAGTGAACACCCGCTGTGTCCAATAGAAAACAACTGTAATGTTTATGAAATGAGAGACAATGGTCCGTTTCGCCTCTTCCTCAGACGAACCACGGTGATGACGCCAGCCCCTGAGGCACTTCAGTGAGTTGGGGCTGACGATAAAGGAGTATGTGAGTGGAAATCAAAAAGTGCAAGTCCACGCACCTACGGAGGATGCGAGCGACGAAGTGAAGAGTGAGTCTCACGAGCAGCTTCAAGATACAATTGATGAACTCCTTCGCTGAGATCTCAAGAAGGTGCTAGATGTGTTCAATTCTCAACTAGGCAACGATCGACTAGGACTAGAGAACAGCTGGACCCTTTGCGTCCTACAATCGTCTCAGCGACAGTGGCGAACGTTTGGCTTCTTTCTGCCGCTACAGTGTAATTTTGTATTGGAACGCATATTCCTAATAGTTCATTAAGTATATTCTCAATTCACAAGAAGAAGTGGAGCTCTCCCGAAGGAATGATGATCAAGGACATTGACCATATATGTATCAGCCGGAAGTGGAGAACATCTCTGCAGGACTTTCGTGCGTGCCGTAGTGCAAATGTCGGCTCATATCATTACCTGGTAAAGGCCGCTTTCAAAATGAAGCTGAAGCAGCAGAGAAAAATTGTCACCGCTCGGGCGTTTACCGTGGAAGAATTGAAGAATTCTGAAATTGCCGCAGCATTCAGCTCTGAACAGTGAAACCGTTTCGCTGTAAGGTGTTCAGCGTCGAGGGGAATTGGAAAGCTATCAGAGAAAAAAAATCACGGGATTTTCCGGGAGACACTAGTTGGCCGAACACGAAACAAGCAAAAGAGCAATGTATCCAAGATAAAACGTGACAAACAAATAGAAGAGAGAAAGCGCGCGAAATCCGAGAACAAGAGGTCAAAACTCTTCACGAGTCGCAGTATGCGAATCAGACATGCTGAGCTGGATCGCTTAGTGAAAAAAAGTTGTGACGTCGCGACAAGAAAGAGTGCAAAAAGGAGAGGAGATCCCGGACGACTGCCAAGTAGTGGATCAAGGGCGCGACGGTCGATAAGGGCGCCAAAAACAGTAGAACATCAATATGGGCGCGAAACGGCCAATATAAGGGTCCGCGGACCAACGTACAGCACTTCAGCATTCTACTCCACTTGATCTTCCAATTGGACCACAACTCCCTGCGCTTACTCATCGTGGCTCTTGCGCTTTAGACTGCTGCCACATTCACCACTCCACTGCACCGCCACCAATGTGCCGTCGACCCCATCAACGTATTCTGATATTGTTGTTGTTAATTACTATTTTGGATGTTCAATTTGTAAGAGACAATAAATTATGTGGAAAGCTTTTTGACTGTTGCTTGATCGACAACGGTATCATCCGCTATAGCATTCACTAGTGCAATTCCGCGTTTGACTGGGGTCAAAGCCAGTTTCAACAATCAGTTCTCTTTCCAGTTCTGTTGAAGCTCTTTTACTTTCACTTGCCATTTCTACTGACGACTCCTAGCTGGGTGTCGATAGAACTATCTGACGGCTCTGCAAAGGGTATCAGGTATCAGCAGCGGTACCGATAGCAATTGCTGTCGTTGATAAGTTGGTGTCTGATAACCAACCGACGTGTTGATCCGTGGATTGAGAGTGAAAGGAGAAGCAAGGACACTCAATAAAATTCGTGAGTGATGGATCGTATCGCATAAATATTGTGATACTGCGCTCGAGGCAGATCAAATCATCTTGTTACAGAGTCTCGAAGGCAGGAGCAGGTGCCCGGTGAAATTGAGATTTCTGGTTCCTTAGTTCGCAGAGTTCTGATTCTTAGATCTGATTTCAGCGTTGCCCCATCTCGCGGAAGCCCTGCCGATGGAATGCGCCTGGATCGGTTGTGCTGAGGGCTCAGCGTATCAAGCACCTGGACACGAAGGCAGTCGATCCTCGATCGCTTGGTTTCGTTTACGTCGTCTTTAGGAATGAGTGTGCCCACGTGAGCGTCATGGCAAGGGCTATCGAACCAGGTGACGATAATGCGGCACGGATCACTGACGCGAGGATGGCCAGAACTGCTGAAAAATTTTTTGAGTTAGGCTGACTGACTGGTGGACTGGAAAGAGTTGGACTTGAGTTCAATGATGGCGAAGCATAATCGTGTTCCTCTTGCCGTACTCGTGGTACTCTGGCGAATGGCATGGATGACGGGTGGTTCTTGCACGCGAGTATTTTTTATGAACTTCCCTCGATCAAGAAGATGGATAATCTGTTCACAGACGTTTTGGGAGCCGTGGTGCTGGTCATGCCGCCTGAGGAGCCTCGCAAAATCACCGCGTGGCTTGCTGTTATGTCGGCCATAATTTGTGGGTAGCTTGTGGCACGCACATCTTTATTGTGAACTGGCCACGAACGACAAATACAGTTAGCAGGGAGCTCGTTCACATTAGAAATGAGAAGCTATCTCTTCAGCTATACTTCGAGGCGACCAGAGCACGCGCCACTCATAATGGACGTACTGCAGCAAACCGAAGGAGTAGTGGATGCCCACGCAGCTTGGGCTACTGTGGGAGTGCTAAGGAACGCAGTTTAATGGATGTTGGAAGATGCTATTCGTTTTTTATGAGTTCCTGCAAAGCCAATTATAGTCTATGTTAGAGCTGGAAGAAATGAAGCTCGTTTTTCATAGCGCAGGGGAGGAGGGGGCTCGGAGAGCCGGCCCCTTCAAGGGAAATAGACTCTGGTTCGGGGAAGCGGATACACAGGAAAACAGCCGCCTGCCGCTCGCGAGATAGGATGAGGGGAGCAGCCCAGAAGTTGCAGGAGCTTCGAGTAGTATTTTTTGTGCGTGTGGAGATTCCTCGTGACATCATGGAGTATAACCATGTTTTTTTTGTTTCTCCCCCCCCCCCCCGACATGTCAAGTAGTGGATCAAGCGCGCGACGGTCGATGAGGGCGCCAAATACAGTAGAACATCAATATGGGCGCGAAACAGTCAATATAAGGGGCCGCCGACAAGCGTACAGTATTTCAGCTTCGACTCCATTAATCTCACAGTTGGATCACCACCCCCTGCACTGCTCCTCGCGAATCCTGCGCTTTGAACGGCTGTTTCATTCTCCATTCCATTCCATCCCGCTGGACCACCAACCCCATCGACGTATTGTGATATTGCTGTTGTTATTGTTCATTATTTTGGATGACAGACAATAAATTATTTGGAAAGCTTTCTCAATGTTGCTTGATCGAAAAGGGTATCATCCGCTATACTACTTACTATTACAATTACGCGTTTGACTCGTCGCTGATCGTGGAAACCCGAGAGCTCTCTATTGAATTACTGGTGAGCTGACGGGGAACTTGAATAACTCAAACGTACCCATTAGGGATAATGGAAGGTTGTCACTGAGCGATGATGAGCAGAGCAAAAGATGGCTCGAACACGGGGCGTCCTCAACCAACTGAGGCCGGTGGAAGCACTGTTTTGAAGAGATGGAGGTAGTTAATGAGCTTGACATTAACATTGGCTTCATAACGCTAGAGCACACTGAACAGGCAAACAAATGCCTCCGTAACAGAAACAAGGCGGGGGGAAGGAAGTAAATCTGAGCAAGTGAGTTCATCGACTGGCTGATTTACTCCAATTTTCATTTCAAAGGTGAGGTGTAAATGGGTTCAAAAAACCGACTACGTGAGGAGATCGAGTGCGACGCGTTACTTAGAACAATTCCCGCGATTAGGTATTACGAGTAGTCAGCATTAATTATGAACCAGCAGCTGACAAGTGACCTAGCAATTGAGAAAGAGGCAAAAAACAATGAAAACATCTCAGAGGAACGTCCACAAGAGAGTCACACAGCCTCATTGTACGAGTTCTCCGGACTAGACACTCTGCGGCTTCTGTACGAAGCTTAGCTCATGAATTGTTTCTTGGCATCCTCTCGTACCAAAAGCCATCATTGGAAAATAAAAAGAAACGAAGTACGAAGGCAATGGAGCGGAAAATGACTTGCAAAACTCGCGCGCTTGAAATTAGGCCTACACCAAGCTTGGCAGGCGAGCTTCTTCTGCACCAAATCGATTGCAACGCTGCTGAACTGAAGCAGCGCCGAAGGCATGTAGCCTTGGGAAGTGGAGTGCAACTAACATATTCTAAAGTATCGAAATACAGTTCGTGAGCTGGCAATAGGATGGGCAAGGTAGTATTTCCTCCGAATGTGTGAAATCGTCCTACGGCGCTACAGGCAATGCAATACACAGGACACGTGGCACCGCGTGTAAGCACTTGCCTCGCAGAGTTTAAACGATAGTGCGTGTAGTAGCCAAGCGTCTGTAGCCTAATTATCTCGCCGTTTCAAGCGACGGAAGTGGTACAAACTCTGTGTGAACCCAAATGATTCACGGAGACTTCGCTGGATCACTTGATTGCGGGAATCGTCTTTGAAGACGGTGGGCACGATGGCTGGCAGGTAGCCGCTTGCTGCCTACGTTGATGGAAGAGCTGCAGGAGGGCGTTATAACCCCTCATTCAGTGCTCTCGCAGCCTTTCCACTAATCACGTTGGCAGCAATGTCCACCCTGCCCCCTCAGCCATCGTGTCCACTACCTCTATGAGT